GGGTGAGCCTAATTGACTGAACTGAATGACTGAATGGACAAGTTCAACAGTGGTGCCAACGATAAAATTCATGTCCCATCCAATCCCATATAATTTCTCATCAAGGGTCCGAATTCTTATCATGGAACTGAACTGTCCACATAACCAACAAGTTGGTAACTACCATGAAGACTAGAGATAAGGAGGCCAAACTCTGCTGGCCGCCTGCACAAAAATTGGTTCTATAAAACATCGCACACTAATTTCTCCACCAGTCTGCGTGGCGGTCAAATCCGAGGCTGGCTCGGACTGCTCGGAGTATAATTAACCCGTATTAGATAGGGACATACTCGACTTTATTACATTTAAAAAATTATAATTAAAAAAATAATAATCGTATTTAAATTAGAATTACACCATCGTATTCAGCGCAAATTTATCTTTAAGAATGTTCTATATTTACGTAATATATGTACATATAAATAGTAAAAAAAAAATTTTTAAAAAATGTAAACCGTCACGTTTACATAATTATTATATATTATTATTTTACAATATAATTTTTATTATTATTTACAGTTTAGATACTTTCCTGTTTTTTTTTTGTTTTTTCTTTGCTAGTCATCGTATCTTTATAATTGGCTCTTTTGACAATAAAACACATATGCATTATTAAAAAAAATCGCACAATGGCTTTAGAAAATTCTTCTTTATGATCTACACAACCGACCAATTGGATTGAATCCCCTTGTTCAATCATTTCCGTAATAGTTAGTAAAGTATTCATATTAAGTTCTTCATTGTTTAATGCTTCTAGTGTCGATTTTTCTAAAGTAGAAATTAAATTAAATAGATTATTTGATGAATGTATTAAGTTGCCCTTTGATCGCATGTCTATAAGTTTGTCTCTAGATGAAGACAAACAATCGTTTCTTAAACTAGAGAGACATTTTTTACACTTAGTGAATCGGTTTGCCTTTCTAGCTATATAACCTGCTAAGTATGATAATACTTGACTTGAAGTACTGGTAGACCTATAATCATGGTCATGCATTAATACTATAACGTCAGGAAGTTCTTCAAACTGGCCTTTGTCTATAATTGAATCTAACTCTCCTTCTAGTGTATCTTTTGTTATATTCACATTTGATAAATCTTGAATATTTATTAATGTTTCAATCATTTCTCCACCAGTTACATTACTATTTTTTGGTGGTTTAATTAATGAGTATGTGCTGATGAGACGAAACATTTGAATAAATAAGACAGAATCCGGATGATCATTTGAACCACAAGCACTTCTCATCATACATAATATGCACCAGTATAAATGTAAATATGTATAAATTATATTGTAAAATACCTAATTCTATATAATAATTATATAAACGTAAAGATAAATTTGCGCTGAATACGATGGTGTAATTTTAATTTAAATACGATTATTATTTTTTTAATTATAATTTTTTAAATGTAATAAAGTCGAGTATGTCCCTATCTAATACGGGTTAATTATACTCCGAGCCAGCCTCGGATTTGACCGCCACGCAGACTGGTGGAGAAATTAGTGCGCTATGTTTTACGGGACGTTTTTTGTGGTAGAGTTTGGCCTCCTTATCTCTAGTCTTCATGGTAACTACCATGGTCGTAACCACGAATTAAAGATAGTACTGCACTACTGCATATTATTATGTTTTCGATGTATTTCTTAAAAGAGTTAGTTAATCTAAAACCGACGACAAACTTCATGTTTCCACCGTGTCAAGATAAGTAGCACTTTTCGGTTACTGAGTTACTCTGATACGGTTTAAAATATGTTTATAATATTCATATTTCGTACTATATATTTATACTAAACGGGCTGCATCACTGCGCTATGTATAAAACCATGGAAATAAATACATACCGCAAAATATAATGAAATAGATTAACCTGTAGGTATCTGGTATATCAATTTATA